AGCCCAAGAGTTGCCATTTTAGCAAGAAAATTCCATCTTTTTTTTCACATGAGTGATACTCAGATCTTTTAAGACAGTTTCCAGGCTCGATGTCCGTTGTACAGTAGTTATGGCACCAGCCACATACGCCGAAGTTGGCAGGTTTGAACCCAGCCTGGGCCAGCTAAAACAACAATGACAACTACAACAAAAAATAGCTGGGCGTTGTGGCAGGCACCTGTAGTCCTAGCTACTTGGGAGGCTGAGGCAAGACAATCACTTAAACCCAAGAGCTAGAGGTTGCTGTGAGCTGTGATGTCACAGCATTCTACCAAGGGCAACATAGTGGGACTCTGTCTCAAAAAAGAAAAAACAGTTTCCTGCCTGGTTTTTCGGAATTCTTCTCAGATGAAATGGTTCCTTTTAGCTTTTCCTCATATGTCCATCCATCTTAGTTCCTTCACTATCCTGAAATTATGTGTCTGAGGACAGTCTAAGTTTATGTATGTCCTGTTTTAAAATTGTAGCATCACATTATTTTCTACAGTAGATTTACTGTCAACTAAAACCCTTTAAGTATTTTATACAAAGCAATTTGTCTTCAATCCTCTACTTGTATATATAGGTATACATGTGCAAGTTCTATTTGTCCTGGTAAATTTCATCATTAGCTTCTTTTTTTCTTTTCTTTTTTTTTTGCAGTTTTTGGCCAGGGTCAGGTTTGAACCCGCTACCTCCGGTATAAGGGGCTGGTGCCCTACTCCTTGAGCCACAGACACCGCCCCTTCATCATTAGCTTCTTTTTTCAAAGACTTTTTGGATATTTATTCTTACGCCAGCATTTTTCACTATCCTATCAAGTTAACATCCACAAATTTAATAAACCTCCCCCCTTTTTTTTTTCTTCTTGTTCAAGTTATGAATGAAATCATGGGAAAAGGGCTGGACACAGTGGCTTACGCCTGTAATTCTTTCACTTTGGGAGGCCCAGGTAGGAGGATTGCTTGAAGTTAGGAGTTTGAGACCAACCTGAGCAAGAATGACACCTTGTCTCTACAAAAAATTAGCCAGGCATGGTGGTGCATGCCTGTAGTCTCAGCTACTTAGGAAGCTATGGCAGGATGGCTTGAGCCCAGGATTTTGAGGTCATTGTGAGCTATGATCACACCACTGCACTCATCTCTGCACTCCAGCCTGGACAACAGAGGTAGATCCTCTTTTAAAAATAAAAAAGAGGTTTAGCACCTGTAGCTCAGCAGCGAGGGTGTCAGCCACATACACCAAGTCTGGTAGGTTGGAACCCAGCCCGGGGCCTGCCAAACAACAATGACAACTACAACAAGAAAATAGCCAGCTGTTGTGGTGGGTGCCTGTAGTTCCAGCTACTTTGGAGGGTGAGGCAAGAGAATCATTTAAGCCCAAGAGTTTGAGGTTGCTATGAGCTGTGACCATGGCACTCTACTGAGGGCGACATAGTGAGACTGTCTCAAAAAAAAAAGAGAGAGAGAGAGAAAGAGAAAAGAAAAAAATTAGGGAAAGGATTAAAGACAGAAGGAGTTGCATTACATTTTGAGTAGAGGTGTTTGTTACACTCTAATCTTAGTTACTCTTGAGTCGAGTTTGAATCCCTGGTGGTGCCTGTGGCTCAAAGGAGTAGGGCACTGGCCCCATATGCCAGAGGTGGCGTGTTCAAACCCAGCCCTGCCAAAAACTGCAAGTTTGAATCCCTGTATTTTTTTCTGTAAAGATAGCAAAGGGAACCTGTGGAGACTTGCTGAAATCTAGATAGTCTGTGTTTTGTGCCTTTCTTTCCTAATGTACCAGTCAAGTTAATTTTGTTTTTTGTATGCTTCTACATCTTAAGGACTGCTGCCTTACTTACCCACGTCACTACCCACTATTTCTTTAATAATCTATTCTAAAATTTTGCCCATGCAGATTAAGCTCATCATCATTAGTTTGTAGAATTCATGGTATGGATCTTTTTGAAAACTAACACGCCTGACCAAGGGCGGTCTCTCTTTGCTTCTTTGTCAGAGCTCATAGTGATTGAACTTCTCTTTTGCAATACCACAGTGTGCCAAGAAATACTAATAGGCAAGGATTACTGGTTACATCTTCCCTTGCAGTCCTTTCTTTCATTTTCACTTCATCCTTGTCAGCCTTTTTCTCTAGAGTTGCTTTAAACTGAATCTTATTTTCTTTCCTGGTAGGGAGGAGAAAATAATATGACCTTCTTGACAGGATTCTTTTGATAATTAAATGAGATAATGATGCTGTGAAGTAGTAGCTAATGCCACGGCACTCTCCAAAGGGAGCAAAGTGAGACTCTATCTCCAAATAAATGAATGAGATGATGAAATGTAAAATGTTTAGCATTGCTTGGCATATAGTTTTAAAATAAGTATTAGTAGTAGTAGTATGATTGTTTGTCCATGCACACGTCTTATAAGCATCTAAAGCCATGGAAGTTAGCCAGATTTTACATAGTTAAGTGAGGTGTATGAGAAAGTAAAAAGTCTCTATTTGTAATTGACTTATACCACCAAATGAAACTCATTTATTATTTTCTTTCAGATGGAACTGGAAGCATTACGGTCTATTTATGAAGGAGATGAAAGTTTCCGAGAATTAAGTCCAGTTTCTTTTCAATATAGGGTAAGACACTGGAATAAGAGCACTTACTACTATGTTGGAAAAGACTGCAGGTTGCTACAAATGCTTATTTTGGTTTTTTTTGGTTTTTTTTGAGACAGGAGCCTCAAGCTGTCCCCCTGGGTAGAGTGCCGTGGCATCTCAGCTCACAGCAACCTCCAACTCCTGGGCTCAAGCGAGTCTCCTGCCTTAGCCTCCCAAGTAGCTAGGACCACAGGCGTCCGCCATAACGCCCAGCTATTTTTTTGGTTGCAGCCATCGTTGTTTGGCGGGCCCGGGCTGGATTCAAACCCGCCATCTTGGGTGTATGTGGCTGGCGCCTTAGCCACTTGAGCCACAGGTGCCGAGCTGCTTATTTTGTTTTTTAAACATGTTTAAATTTATTGTGTTTTTGTATTTTCTGAAGCACTTGGATGGAAACAACACCCTGTCATCAATCATTCTTAACATTTAACTCTGTCTTTTTAAAAACAAAGATAAGAGCAGGTACCGTACCTCACGCCTATAATCCTAGCACTCTGGGAGGCCAAGGCATGTGAGTTACCAGAGCTCAGAAGTTGGAGACCAGCCGGAGCAAGAGTGAGACACTCTCTCTAAAAATAGCTGGGTGTTATGGCAGGCTACCCAGGAGGCTGAGGCCAGATGCTCCCTTGAACACAAGAGTTTGAGGTTGCTGTGAGCTATGACACCAGGACATTCTGCCAAGGGTGACAAAGTGAGACTCTGTCTCAAAAAAAAAAAAACCACACCAAAAGAACAAAGATAAGCTTGTTTTTATTGTAACAGAATCATAAAACATAAAAAATGGAAGAACCTTTAAAAATGGTATACTTTATCTTTTTTTATTTGTTTAGGGTTTTTTTGATAGAATGCTACTTTACTAGAAGAAGATAGGAAAAGCTTCCAAGTATAATTTTATCGGTTCTTTTCAATAGAGTGCTGTACTGTCACAGCTCACAGCAACCTCCAGCTCTTGGGCTTAGGCAATTTTCTTGCCTAAGCTTCCTGAGTAGCTGGGACTACAGGTTCTAGCCATAATGCCCGGCTATTTTTTGTTGCAGTTTGCCAGGGCCAGGTTCAAACCCACCACCCTTGGTATATGATATTGATAAATATTACGATTAAAATTCAGATATCTATTCCAAGCCTAATGTTCTTTTTATTCCTGTGATACACTCAAGAAAAGTTGGTATTCGTTCTGTTTTCACTGTGTTTATGGCTCTTCTTTATGTATGTGAAAAAGATTTTTCTTCAAAGTGAGAGTCACTTATAACTGTCTCTACAATAAAAAGCGGTATTTTGTAAATAAATAATATAAACAATTTATTGAAATTATTATAAATATTAATGGAGGCTCGGCGCCTATAGCTCAACCGGCTAAGGCACCAGCCACGTACACCTAAGGTGGCGGGTTCGACTCCCCAGCCCGGACCCGCCAAACAACAATGACGGCTGCAACCAAAAAATAGCTGGGCGTTGTGGCGGGCGCCTGTGGTCCCAGCTACTTGGGAGGCGGAGGCAGGAGACTCGCTTGAGCCCAGGAGTTGGAGGTTGCTGTGAGCAAGGAAGCCATGGCACTCTACCCAGGGGGACAGCTTGAGGCTCTGTCTCAAAAAAAAAAAAAATAAATAAATAAATAAATATTAATAGAATAGGCAGAGTTTTTTAAATAAAAGAGTTACCATTATTAACATAGTCATCATTTAAATCAGATTGTTCCCAGACTGTGCACTGTGCTGCGGCCCCAGGCTGCTTCTGTCAGCCAGAGAAATGTTCCAGGGGCTGTGGCTGCCTAAGCTGCCAAGGGCTATGCAACTGCCTAGGGACACAAGGAAAAAAGAAAAAATAAAATTTAAATAAAATAGGGCTGGGCATGGTAGCTCATGCGTGTAATCCTAGCACTCTGAGAGTCCGAGGCAGGTGGATTGCTTGAGCTCAGGAGTTTGAGACTAGCCTGTGGAAGAGTGAGACCCCATCTCTACTAAAAATAGAAAAACTATGCTGGTGCTGTAGCTGGCAGCTGTAGTCCCAGCTACTCTGGGGACTAAGGAAGGAGGATCACTTGAGCCCAGGAGTTTGCGGTTACTGTGAGCTACGATACCACATCCCTCTAGCTAGGGCAATAGAGTCAGACTCTGTCTCAAAATAAAATAAAATAATAAAATAAAAATAAAATGTATGAGAAATTGTCCTTAAACATGATGTGTTGTAGACTGTCACAAGAACTAAATTCTTTGTTTTTTTAAATACTGAGTTTATTTCACATGTATATTTTGTCTCCCCACCACTTCCATGTCTGACCACCACTACTATGCCCTATCATAACATTTCATACATACTTAAAACCAAGTGAAGGGTGGAGTTTTATCTTTAAATACTAAACAGGCATTTTTTGACAACACATTCTTGTCAGTGGAACCTGGACAACATTTATCACAGTAGGGAAAGTTCTCACTCTGCATCATAAAAAGGGCAGCCAGATGTCAACTGTTACAGAAATGAAATAAGACGGAAAATTTTGACAAACTGTTGAAACTATTTTCTGAAAGAGACTTCCTCCACTGCCAGAGATCTTGAATAGCCTCCTGGTCAGTTATCCGGAAGCAGTTTTCACATAATTGATGGACTTGGCTTCCACTTTGGGAAGAGACCCACCTTTTTCTATACTTGCTTGCATTTTGGCCTTAATGTCCTTTTGGTGTTTTAGGAGTTTTTTCCTGTTTTTTGAAGGATTCTTGACTGATCTCGGTGGTGATGGTTTTGAATCCTTTCCATTCTGGGTTGATTTTCGTGCATTTTTGGCTGGAGTGTCTCACGCAGATTTCTTCACTGGAGCTTTTTCTTCAGTTTCCTCATCATAATCATCATCTTCATCTGCAGCAAGTTTTACTTTTTTCTGTGGAACTTTGCTACCACCTCCAGGGGCAGATCACTTTCTAGACATACTTAAGAGTTTCCCATCCTCCTCCTCTTCATCTCCTGACTCTTCATCTTCTTCCACGGCCACTAAGTGCTGCCCACTAATATGCACAGGCCCTGAACCACCTTCAACCATAGGACCACGGGTGGTGTTATTTCAAAGCCCCCAAGAGAAACCATTGGCTATACAGACATTTTCAAAGTTGCCAATGTTACTTTAATTGGACTGCCTTCATAATTCATTGCCTCTGCTTCAACAATGTGCAGCTCATCCTTTGCACCAGCCCTTAACCTGACTGTTCTTAAAGATAACTGGTGCTCATTTTCATCATTATCCACCTAAAGTGATAATCTTTGTCAGCTGTTAGTTCACAGCCAAAAAGAGTTCTGAGGCCTCAAGAGGCTCATGTCCTTGTCCATCGAATCTTCCGTGAGGTGGTGGCACGCACTTAGGTGGATGAGAGGGCGTACAGAGTTAAACGACTACTGCTCCAAGGAACAGCCGCGCAGGACAGAATCACATCAGGGAAGGACCTAAATTCTTTATAGTCACTTCCTTTGGATACTCTCCTGCCTGATCAGCTCGTCTCAATTCCCTTTCAAGCTTTGCAGTCCTTACACCATCTCCATGTGTGTAATAACCAGTGGATTTTGAATGGCCCAAAGTTAACTATTAATAAAGTCCTAGACCCTTCCATTTGAATCCAGCTGCTTTCAAGACGTTCCCTGCTACTGCCACTCTCAATAGCAATAGGGAGATGGAAAATTTCCCTATATTTTTCTGACTATCTCTGTTAACCACAGCAGTTATTTATTGAATAACTCTGGACATGAGTATACAGAATGCTCTGGACATGTAGGTATGCTTGATGACGGACACTTCAATGTGACCCATAAGATGGATTTAAGAGCAGTGAGACATGAGATTAGGGAACAGAGCATTCGCAGTCACAGGGTCTGGGGTAGAGTTCTGCCTATGTCCTAATCCTTGGTCCTTGTATAGAGTAGTTTGTGGGCCCCCCAGATGACTTCTCTGGTTTATTTCTTCCTTTAGTTTCCCCCTGACTGCACCATGAGTCCTACAACAGCACTGGTTGGCTCTCATCATGTTATCTTGTTTAAAAAGGGTTTCTCTACAGATTCCTCTTGCCCATGGAGTGAGGACTCAGTTCCTCAGTCCTTTTGTTTGTTTCTAACTACCCTCCAACTTTCCCAGCCCCCAACATCCCTTAGACATGATGGATTGTTGAACTTTTCCCCTGCATTTTATTTATAGTAGTATGCCTTTGGACACATTGTTCTTTCTCTCACCTCTCACTCATTATCCTGCTGCTGCTTCAAGGTCCAACTCAAGCCCCATCTGTGTAAGTATTTGGGCCACATCTCCTATCTCTGCTCCAACTTTGAAGTAGAATTAAGCATTCCTGGCTCAGCACTCATAGCTCAGTGGTTAGGGCACCAGCCATATACACTGTGGTTGGCAGGTTCAAACCCGGCCCGGGCCTGCTAAATAACGACAACTACAACAAAAAAACAGGTGGGCGTTGTGGTGGCCCTATAGTACCAGCTACTAGGGAGGCTGAGGCAAGAGAATTGCTTAAGCCCAAGAGTTGGAGGTTGCTGTGAGCTGAGACATCACAGCACTCTACTGAGGGTGAAATAGTGAGACTCTCTCAAAAAAAAAA